TCCTGACAAGGACGCACTGGCCTCTGTGAAGGCTGAGCTGCTGAAGAGACACACCTGCACTGACCTTGGAGAGCTGTGTTGCTATCTTGGCCTGCAGATCTCTAGGGACAGTGCAGCACGCACCATCACTCTTACACAGTCACACTTGGTGCGTCAGGTCCTTCAGAGGTTCGGTCCTCAGTTCTCCTCCGCACAGCCCACACCTCTACCTGTAGACCATGGGCTCTCTGCTCCAGTTCCTGAGGAGCCAGTAGAGCCCAGTGGCCCCTACGCAGAGCTAGTGGGTTGCCTCATGTACCTGATGACTTGCACTCGCCCAGATCTCGCATACCCTCTCAGCATCCTAGCTCGCTTTGTGGCTACAGGCAGACACCGACCTCAGCACTGGTGTGCCGCTAAGAGGGTTTTGCGTTATCTTGCTAGTACATCGGGCATGGGGTTAGTGCTAGGAGGACGCAGGCCAGTGGTCCTTACTGGATACACAGACGCTTCTTGGGCAGACGACTCTAAGACGCTTAGGTCGTCACAGGGCTACTGTTTCAGCCTTGGTTCGGGTGCTATCTCTTGGAGATCCACTCGCTCGTCGTCTGTGTCTCAGTCTAGCTGTGAGGCTGAGATCTACGCTGGTGCCATGGCGACACAGGACCTCCGCTGGCTGACCTTCTTGCTCACAGACTTAGGTGACGGCCTAGCTCTGCCCCGGTCCTGTACGCTGACAACAGGGCCATGATACTCCCGTGTCAGGAGCCTCGACTTGAGGGCAGAGCGAAGCATATCCAGCTGCGGTACTTCCTCCTGCGCGAGCTACAGCAGCGTCGCCAGGCCCGCGTTGTTCACTTGGCCTCCGGTGTCAACACAGCTGATATCTTTACTAAGGCGCTTGCGCCTAAAGATCATCAGCGACACTGTGTACAGCTTGGTCTTGTTCCTGTAGCTGCTCCCCTGTTAGGATCCTGATTGTGTACTCTCTATTATATATGCCTGTCAAACTGGCCTTGTGGCCTTACCTCCAGTGGCTGGACTAGTAGTGTCGCCCTGGCAAGCTTTGGTTTTGGTTGTATTCTTGCTGACTGGTCACTAGACCCCTGCCTCAGTGGTTGGACTAGTAGTGCCGTCCTGAGCTGTTTGCTTCTTGTTTAGTTTCACCCCTTGTCTAGCCTAGGGGGTGTGTCAACTTGTACATACAGTGGCGGAATAAATTGTCCACATGTTCAGCCTTTTTTGGCAATTTGATGAGTGCATCGGTGTAAACATTAAGCCTTAATGTATGGTGTGCATACACGCTGAGAAGTTCAGTTACAGTACTCACTCGAGTTGCCAAACACCAAAGTAGTACCACACATGGTCCTTAAACACCTAAGCATAGCATAGGAGAACATCCGGACAATTTGTACCGAAAAAAGGTATCATACTAGATTCTAGGAAAACTAGTACCTAGTCCAGCGTCCCTTTGCCCTAATCACTGCCTTGATCCTCCTCGGCAGGCTGTCGATCAGGTTTGCACACACCTCCGCCGGTATCTTGTCCCATTCCTCCTGCACCCTCTCCCACAGCTCCAGCATTCCCCTTGGCGGCTTTTCGTACTTCCCCAGCTGCCTTTTCAAGTATGCCCACAGGTGCTCAATCGGGTTAAGGTCCGGGGAGCACGACGGCCATTCCAGCACCGCGTACTCCTGCTCCCCAAGCCAATCTTGGACCAGACGAGACCTGTGCTTGGGATCATTGTCGTGCTGAAAAATGACCTCTGAGGGGGAAAGCTTGAAAAAATCGATGGTCTGTTTGAGCTCATCTTGCAAGATGCTGCGATACAGCGGCCCATCCATCCTGCCATCTATCTTGCACATGAACCCCGCCCCCTCATACGTCATGCAACCCCACACCATCACAGAACCGCCCCCATGCTTAACTGTCTGTTGGACTTGATGGCTCCGAAGGCTGGTGCCCTCGCGAATCCAGGCGTACGCACGTCCGTCGGAGCAGTAGCGGTTTATCTTTGTCTCGTCAGACCAAATCACCCGCTTCCAGTCCTCCAGCGTCCAGTCGGCATGCGACCGCGCGAAGTCGAGACGATCTCGGATGTTTTTCGGTGAGAGCCTGGGTTTCTTGGGCTGATGCACGGCGATCAGCCCCGCGGATCGTAATGAGTTCCGGACCGTCTTCGAGTCTACGGCGAGACCGTGCTTCTCCAACAACATATTTGCCGCTTCTACAGAGCTTTTCGCCTCGCCGCTTGTAATCGCGCGTACTATTCCGCGCTGGAGACGGGTAGTGATTAAGCGGGGGCGGCCGGCCGAAGGCATCGTAGGTCGCACCTCCTCGAGACTAGTCTCGGCAGCCACTTTCAAACTGTAATCGTGCACAGTGCTCTTGCCTATTCCAAGAAGTTTGCCTATTTTCCTAGTCGAATGGCCCGCACGCAACATGCTTCTGATTCGCGCGCGTTTCCGCTCAGTTAACGGCTTCATGGCGATGCGGTCGTGGGCTCGCTTCCGGACTAACTCCTAAGCCAGCAACTATTCCACGTGACGAGGTACACACTGAGTGACGGGGGAAAATAGATCTACTCTTCCGCTCGGTTGGAAATGTCCGCATCGACTGTCGAGGAGTAAATTTCAACCCCACTTTCAGGTTGTGTCACAATTGCGCCAAGCAAGAAACGGTTGAAGCAGAACTCGGAAACCTTGTAACGGAAAGGAAAAAACCGAGTGTTACTATTTTCGAAACATGTGTGGCATAGCGATATGTTTCAAAGTGTTAAACATCCGGGCAATTTAATCCGCCACTGTATTAGCTATGTAGAAGTTATAAGCTAGACTGAGGTATGCTTCTAGTGAGTACAATCAACTAATAATTGTTCTAGGTTTCCACTTTTAGTCTAATTCATTCATTCTCACTTTAACACATATAGCATAGCATATAATTAGCTTTTAAAAGTACAAAACAAGTCTAACGCCAAAAGCAGCTGGAGGCAACTTTTATTCAGTGGGCTGATTCCCGTATCATTTTCCTGTAAGGGCCTGGGCGGACGCCCAAGCGCTTGCTCTAGCAACTGAACATGGGCAGGATATTGGGGAAGCCCTTGACGAATCCGCCACCAACAAGGCCGCCAGACTTCTTGCTGGACTTGGTGAGAACAGCAGTGTAGTAGTCCGACACCACACCCTTATCCACGGCCTGGAGCACCTCCAGAATGCTGCCGCTGCCGCCACGTGGCGTCATTTTCTCGATGGCGCTGAGCTTGAAGTCCAGCTTGTAGCTGCCGCCGCCGCCGCTCCACGGCTTGTTGATCCACCACGACACGCCCGTGTTGCTGCCGAACTTGCCCTTGCCGACCACGATGCCCAACGGGGGCTCGGGGAAATTGCTCAAATCCGCGGTCACCGAGAGGTCGAACGACTCGTCCGAGTCGCCCCTGCGAAAGAGAAATCCGCGAAAGAAAGGCGTGAGAAAAATGTGCGGACGGAAAGGGAGGGAGGGACGAGCAAACTTGCTTGTAAGACAGGAGCGGAGGCGGAGAAACGAGCGCGTAAGGAACGAGGCTCGGCGCGGAATGGCCTACTTGTATTCCTTGAAGATGAGTCTACCGGTAGGCAGAGACTTGGTGGACTTGCCGCCCTTCTTCGCCTGCGTCTGCTGCTTGTCCGACAAGTCCCAGTTCGAGTACAGCACGCCTGCGACAACGCGCGACAGCGTGCGACGCCATGCGACAAGGAGGGGAAACACGCATTCGTGAGTACGACGGAACGGCGAGCGGAAGGGAGCTGGCCATGACACATCGGCGAGTAAATTTTGAGGCGAGTAGATTCAGCGAAGAGCTGCGTCAGAGACAAGTTGACTCAAAGCGACGGCACTCACATTTCGGTCGGGCGGCGAGAGTGAGGAGCGCGGAAGCGAAGAGCAGCCCGAGGACGAGCGCGCCTGGAGGGGGGAGAGGGCGGGGAGGGGCGCACAGAGATGACTACGGGTACTGACGGGCGGGCCTATGACGGCAGAGCGATAGGTCGGGGAAGGAGGATCGAGAATAGGAGCAAAACGAGACCGAGGACGAACTCCTGATCCTCGCTGGTGCGTCACAGTGAACGAGATGCCGTTGACAGGGCGGCTGACGAGCGGAAAGGAGTTTCAGTCATGATCGAGGGAATTGGTCACGAGATCGAGGGACTGACGCACCTCGTGAAGAGACGGTGGGAGCCATGCGATCGATTAGACTCAGGTGTGCACAGGATGGATCTCCTGGCGAGCTCTGAAGAGGTAAGGAGAACTGGAACGGCGAAGGAACGAATGGTAAGGATGGCATAGACTTCGGCAAAGGAGTCGGTTTTATACCGTTTGCTGCTCATCGACGCGTGCTCAATGCGACCTTCCCCCTCGACGCGCGTGCTCACGGCGCCGAGCGAAGGGTGACTAGCCGGGTTCGAAAGCACGGCACCCGCGCTGCATTGCCGAAAGTGCATGTGGGTTCAAGCTCGACATGGGAGGAGCTGCGGTTCGAAGTGTAGGGGAGTGGAGTGGAAGGAATCGCAATGGAGCGATGGGGTGATGCATCTGGGGCAGGGGCGAGGTGGGGGGGGGGTTTTGGGGGGGGGGGAAGGGGGGTGGGTTGGTGGTGGCATTGCTGTGCTCTGTGCGCGAATGTTCGTGCCCCGAATTCGCTCGCATGGATGTAGGGCATCTCGCGACGTGGGAGACTCCGAAGCGCGGCACAGGAAAGGGGACAAGTCAAGGCACCAGACAATTGGGGCAACATCAACTACACTCAAATTATGCCAGAAGCTAGATTCATTTGCAATGAGACTAATTATATATTTCATGTGAATACATAAAAAAACCCACAGGGAACGTGGTTGTCATTCTGAAGGAATCAAAGTTCAACTCGTTTCGAGCAGAATACAGCTACGCTTGTAGTTAGAGTGTTTCTCTAAATCACTCAGATGAATGTTGCGAGTCTGATAAGGGCGGGACAACCACCTTCACTAGGCAATCAATTTTGATGTTTTGGCGCCCATGGGTCGCATTATGTTTAGGTTATATAGCATAACATACTATAATTCTCTTACAGGTACAAAACAAGTCTAACGCCAATAGGAGCAGCTGACGCCGTGTAAGATGAGATTCCATTGGAGCCAGCAATTATTTGATGGGCAACCTTTGTAGCACCTGACTGCACTCAGTAGGGCCAACCAGCTGCTCTAGCACTTGAACAAGGGCAGGATGTTGGGGAAGCCCTTAACGAATCCGCCACCAACGAGGCCACCGGAGTCCTTGGTGGACTTGGTGATAACAGCGGTGTAGTACGACGACACCACCCCCTTATCCACAGCCTGGAGCACGTCCAGAATAGTGCCGCTGCCGCCACGTGGCGTGATCTTCTCGATGGCGCTGAGCTTGAAGTCCAGCTTGTAGCTGCCGCCGCCGCCACTCCACGGCTGCGTGATCTTCCACGACACGCCCGTGTTGCTGCCGAACTTGCCCTTGCCGATCACGATCGCCACCGGAGGCTCGGGGAAATTGCTCAGCTCGGCGGTAACGGTCAGGTCGAACGACTCGTCCGAGCTGCCCCTGAGAAAGAAGACGCGCGGGAGTGAGGGGTGGGAGAGTTAGAGATCCGACGGGCGGAGAGAAAGGGTAGGGAGATGCGGACGGGACGACGGCAAATGGACGATGACTGTCTGGAGGAAACAAGAGCGGAAGCGGAGAGCGATGCGGAAGCGGAGCCAAAGCGGAGAGACGAGCGAGGCGGAGTAGCGTACTTGTATTCCTTGATTGTCATTTTGCCCGTGGGTAGCGACTTGGTGGACTTGCCACCCTTCTTAGCCTGCGTCTGCTGTTTGTCCGTCAAGTCCCAGTTCGAGTAAAGCACGCCTGCGACGATGGGCGACAGTGTGCGACGCCATGCGACAAGGAGGGAAACACGCATAGGTGAGCACGACGGAAGGCGAGCGGAAGGATGTGGCTATGACTGAGTAAATTCAGAGACGAGTTAATTTAGCGATGAGTTGATGATTCAGCGACCAGCGGCGCACTCACATTTTGGCGAGGCAGCGAGAGTGAGGAGTGCGGACGCGAAGAGCAGCCCGAGGACGAGAGCGCCTGAAGGGGGGTGAGGGCGGGGAGGGGCGCACAGAGGTGAGGAGAGAAACGACTACGGGCATTGAAGGGCGGCAAAGCGATGGATGAGGGAGGAGCGAGAGCAGGAGCATCCCAGGGTAGAGGACGAAATTCCGATGCACGGCGGTGAGTGAACGAGTACGTCGCTGACAGGCCGACTAAAGAGCGAGGAGCGAGGAGCGAGGAGCGAGGAGTGAAGGGCGAAGTTTGAATCAGTGGCGAGGTCGAGGGATTGACGCACCTCGTGAAGAGAGTGTGGGAGCCATGAGATCCGTACGGCAAGGTTTGCACAGAATATGAATCAGCTACTGAGCTCTGTAGAGGTGAGAGGACTTGGATCGCCGAAGGAACGATTGATAAGCTATATTAGACCTCGGCGATAAGCTCGCTTTAATATCGTTTGCTGCTCCTCGGCGCGTGCTCAATGCGCGAACTCCAAGACACGCGTGCTCACGGCGCCGAGCTGGACTGGGCTCGAAAGCAAGGCACCTGCGCAAAATTGCGCGGAGTGGGGACCATAAGTGCATCTTCGAGCACGATACGGGAAGAGATGCGGAGTGGTGTGGCCAGTGGAGCGATGAAGACGGTATGGCGAGTCTCGGGGGTTTGGGGGCATTGCTGTGGCTGCTGGGTGAATGTTCGTGCTCCAATGTCGCTCCTGCGCATGCAGTCTTGCGCGACGTGGGAGAATACCGAAGCGCGAATGGGGAGGTTCACTGACGCGTCGCAGGCTGGGTCGCAGAGATTCGCAGAATGTGTGACAGGATGGGATTAGCCAGCAGACGTCTTTCCCCACGTAAACTGCACAGCAGCATCTGATTGGCGAGATAAGGGCGTGTGGCAATTACACATTACCCCGCTTACAGACATCCGCGCTACTCGCACAATCACGGTTAAGGGCCCATTGACGTATACACCCTGCTCTTATCCCCCAGTGTATATGCACAATCGCTGCTCGACATGAACCGACCCACAAGAGTGTAGTGTACAAGATAGCTCACAGATTCCGCAGCAACCAATAGGATTCGTCCACAAGATAACGTTAGCGAAAAACAACAGCCTAGCGAAGTCATCAGAAGGCTTTTCGTCAGCCAACGAGCTGTTAACACGCCACGTAAACATGGAAGTTACTAGCAAGAACAGAAACTGATGTTCGAATGAATGAACCAAAGAACACGTCAGCGTTCGCCAGCGCAGTTCACCGGCATGTTCTACGAACTTCAAATTCGTAGGTATGAACCACATCAATCCGAACAACCGCAAGCCACACACTGTAACCCCATCCATCTCCGCTTTCGCCCTACTGCCAACATGTTTGCCCCTCGCTCCCATCGCCTGCCTCGCCTGCACAGGAGGGCCGAGATTTTGCTCGACATGAAGAGAGAAATCTGTCGGCAGGCGCCAGGAGGATCTCGCCCGTTGGTGTTTCACGAGGTTTGGGATTGTTCCTGACCGCAGCACTCTAAGGAGGATTGTTCGCCAGGCGGACAAGTGGAAAGTCACTGCTACAGCATAGAATGCCATCCGCATGCGGAAGGGGGGTTCCCCTAACTTGGAGAGAGCTCTCAAGGCCAGGGTACAGGGAGCCGAAGACGCCGGCATCCCTCTTACTCTGACGATTATTCGACAGAAGTCTTTGGACTTGCGCCCTAAGTGTGGCGTCCCAGACACTTTCGAATGCTCGATCAGCTGGTATCACCGTGCCATGCATCATCGCATGGGTTTTCGTAACCTCGCACGGAAAGGCGAGGCTTTCGACACGGACAAGGCAGCTGTCGAGATGTGCAGGCAGCGCATGGTGGAGCTCATTGAGCAGATCGGCTTTATTCCGCGTGATCTCTACAATTGGGATGAGACCGCCCTCTTCCCGGGTCAGCAGCCTCGTCGTACCTGGTCGGATGGTTCGCCCGTCGGTCGCAAGGCTGCAAATGACCGCATCACGGTGGGCTTTCTATGCAACTCTGACGGATCCAACATGTATCGTCCTCTCGTTGTCTCCAGAGTGCACCGGCCAACTGACTTCAACGCCAATAGCTTCGACCCCGAGCCGTACGTCTACTGAGGGCTGGATGACATCCGAGGTGAGCAATGTATTGTTTTGCATATGCGTGAGATTCCGATACTACCTTGCGCGCTCTCCGAACAGCAGGTCTGTCTACATGATACTTGAACAGATTTTCATGTGTGGTTCAATTGTTCTCTCTCCCCCCCCCTCTCCTCCCCCCCGCCTACATATCTTCTCCTCTTTCTTCAAGTCAGTGAACACCTGTATGTTCGCCAAACAGAGGCAGATTGTTGTCTTGGTGGACAACGCATCCTCTCATAACCTACTCTCTCCACCGCCACCACTGAGGATGTCTGTGGCTTCCGCACACGAAAGCTCAGCAATGTAAGAATCGTCTATCTCCCCAACAACACCACGGCATACTGTCAGCCCTTGGACCAGGGCATTATCGCGACCGTCAAGCGCCGGTTTCGATCCAAGTGGCTAGAGGAGCTGTGGAAGCTGTGGGACTCCCGTGTGTCACCAGCGTCAAAGGCGACGAAGAAGCCGAAGGCATGGCAGACGATGCACTGGCTCTCCGATGCATGGGGAAGTGTTGAGCCAGACACCGTGCAGCGGTGCTGGCACCACGCCAAGATCATGCCCCGCAGCTGGAGTCGGATCCTCCCGCACCTCATGTACGAGAGCTCCGGCCCAAGCGATCAGACAGAAGAACTGTGGGTGGTGGTGTCACAGATTGACCAGTTCGCGTTCTGTGCCGACGCCCTCTCCGCCGAGGACTTCACTCGCATCGACGAAACTCACTCAACGTGTAGCCCGAGGGCGTCGATCCTCTCTCCACCGAACCCCCTCCAGAGCGCCAGACAGGTGGAGAGCCTCCCTTCTTCATCGAGCTATCTGAGCGCGCGAGGGCAATGCGGCGAGTTTGGCACCTAGCGACGGATCTGCTCATTGCTTATGTGAGGGCGGCGCGGATCCGTCCAGTGGCAGCGACGATCGAGACACTACAGACACCGCCATCGACCGTGTCTTGTGCGTGCCATGTGTTCGTTGCAGTGGTTTGCGTTTCCTCGTGTGCCTCATTGTTTGTGACTGTTTGGGTGTGTGTATGGGGGGGTGTGCCTCTCTGTGTTGTGCTTCTTTGAGCGTATGTATGGGTGTGTGTGCCTCTCAGTGTTGTGCTTCGTTGATAGAGTGGGCGTGGGTTTGTTTGCCTCTCTGTATTGTGTTTGTATGAGCGTGTGTGTGGGTGTGTGTGCCTCTGTGTTTTGTGATTCGTTGCAAGAGTGGGCGTTGGTGTGTGTGCCTCTCTATTTTGTGCATCTTTGAGGGGGTGTGTGGATGTGTGTGCGTCTCTAGTTTGTGCTTCTTCAAGAGTGTGTGTGAGGCACTGCGACCCTCTATGTTTGGTGCTTATTTGGGAGTTTGTGCCCGGTTGCTCTTCCAGTATTATGTGCTGCTTGCTGATGTGCGTGTGCCTCCAATGTTTGTCACCTTCAAGCACGTCTGGTGTGTGGTTGTCATGGGTGTGTGCATGGCGAGTATGATGATGTGTCGTGAGTGTATGCTTGTCAGCAATGCGGTAGCTGTTGACAAGGGAGAGGATGAGCAGGTGGACAGTGGACGATATACACAACGTCATATGGACCCATGAGCTTTAGTAACAGAGAGAGTTGTTTGGTGCTATGGGAGTTGGGGGAGCACGTCACCGTGGTTATGGTTGAAATGGGAAGGCTGAAAATGTGGCGTGGGCAAGAGTTGGTACTTGCGGTGTCATCTCTGGAAAGACATTTCAGTGTTGTGTCCTAAGTGTTGTAATTCTGTCTCTGTTGTATCATAAACGTAGTTCAATGTTGTAGTTGTAACATGACCCGTTTCATGCGGGTCAGAAGTTTATCGCGCCGGTTACCAGAACGGCCGTACATAGGCCGTCCGCATTTAATGACTAGAGTCCGGCTACTCCCGCCCCCGAAGTGTACAAGCAATTCTTGCCCGACGTTTTGGCCGGGGGATACATGCACGCACCGCGCAAAAAAATTGCATGCCTGAATCGTGGAACATGTGTAGAATGAGCCAGTTGCTCCTGCAGTCAAATTAGTGGGGCAAGCATTTGCTTTTGCCGTCAACAGTTATGTTCGCTGATTTTGAGCTTTCATAGAGGTTCGGGACTCAAACAAGCAACTGAGCCTCCAACCATTTGACGAAAAGAATATTTTCGGGCTAGATCTGGCACATAAAATAAGAAAATCTGGCTGTCGGGGCAGAAAAAATAAATCCATACGGACCCGCATGCCATTTTAGGGGGGGACTTAGCTTCTGCAGTCAAATCAGTGGGGAGAAGTCTTTCTTTTACTGTCAATACGTGCGAGTGATGACTTGGGGCCCTTTTAAAGGTTCGGAGCCAAAACAAGCAGCTATACGAAACCAGTCATCCGAACCTGCTGCGAAACGAAATATTTTCGAGCTAGCTAAGGTACGCAAATCAGGCAAGCAGGCCGCCCAAGGCAAAACAAAATAAAACCCATAGGGGTCCGCATGCCGTTTTGGGTTGGGTAAACCCTAAACTCGCGGAGGTATGTTTCATGGGATGCGTTCGGTATAGCTGGTTGACGGGTTCAGGCTGCCTCGGTAAGTTTCGAACGTATAAAAACACGCCATGTCAGCATGACGACAACAGCAATAAATTGCCCCACTGAGTTCAATACAGAAGCTAAAACCCCATAAAAGGGTGGGTAAACCCTGAAATCGCGAATGAATTTATCTTAAGACGAGGCTCGACTGCCTCGGTAGGATTTGAAGTTATGAAAATGCGCCGTGTCGGCTTGAAGGCAGAAGAAAATATATTCCTCACTGAGTTGACTGCAGAAGCTAAAATCCCAAGTAGGATTCCGATCGTTTCCGCCCCGCTCCTCCCGTCGTTCCGCTCGCGAACTCCTGAAGCATGGGACGGGAGCTCCGTTCGTTTTGATGCTACAGTGGTCACTGTCAACATATATTTCTATATGTTATAGGCTATATAGGTGCATGCTCATAGAGGGTACAACACTAGAGCACAAAACCTCCCTGTGTGGCAAGATCTAGTTTATTGCGTTATTCTAACATGGTATCACGCTAGGTTAGGTTCCCCTCCCCGCCTACGCTTCCGCCCCTAGCCCTAGCCCTAGCCTTAGACCGCGCCCTAGCCCGGGAACGTCACATCGCGCTGGCCTCATCACGCCGCGCTGGCCCCGTCCCTCCGCGCTGGCCCTGTCCCGCCGCGCCGGCCCCCATCACGCCGCGCTAGCCCCGCTAGACCGCGCTGGCCCCGTCACGCCGCGCCGATCCCGCTAGACCGCGCCGGCCCCGTCAAGCCGCACCGGCCCTATCAAGCCGCGCTGTCCCCATCATGCCGCGCCGGCCCGTCACGCCGGGCCGGCCCCGTCGCGCCGATCTCACCCCGTTGCATCAAGCCGGCCCCGTTAGACCGCGCCGC